CTGGGTTTTATATAAAATAAAGACATGGTCTCTTTTGCAATTATCCTTCTTACTCTACATTATCTAACTTGCTGTTTACCTACCAACCAATCCAGTCCTTTTTACCTATTAGAATATCTTTAAATAGCCAATCCAACTCAATACAGTCTTCCACGGTAGATTCTGCCTCAAAATGACTTGATTTCATTCAGAAGAGTTCTATTTAACAGATTATAAAACCTTTTTTATTTCATCTATAATAACATTATATTTTTTAATCACATATTGACCACCGAACCAAAAATGTCCCTGGTTTTCATTTCAGAAATCTGGTCACCTTACTCCTGAGGATCCTGTTAATGATTACATTTTTATCTTTGCCTCTGTTATAAGTGAATTCTTGTGATTTCTGAATATTGGTGCACATTTTAAGTAGCAATAGAGCCCTTTCTCTTTGATTCTGAGTACTAAACCTAGGTTTCCCTGTGATGTTTTGGATAGCTAAAGAGGCAGCTATACTTTCGGTATCATCAAAATACACCATTAATCACAAAAGTGTCAGATAGAAAATATTCCCAGTAGCTGTATTTTTATTTATTTTTTTAGACAAACAGGATATTGGGCAGAGGTGCATCAAAAAAAGGTCACCTGCTGGAGTCAAACCAGTAACCTTGTGGCTGTGACTGTAGCTACAGAAATTAGCAGTAAGCTAGCTAGCAACGTACCGTGTGGGACGGTTCTGGTGTTCTTTTTGTTATCTTTACCAGTAATTCTCCTTTTGTCTTCTTGTCTTTGTAAGTTTTTAAGTTACATTCATTAAGTTCTGGGATATGTGCAAAGTCTCCACACATATTGCTCACTTAAGTTGAAATGTCTTCGCCTTAGTTTGACCCACCCCGGGCAAATTAGCAGCTAACTGCGGCTACTCGTGTCGTTCTGTTGACTTTGTATGTAATCACACCACCTCTAAAATTCACTTCTGTCTGAACACAGCCTACACACCAAAATAACTCTTTACCTAACCTGAACTCCATAATCTTAACCTAATCCTAAATGGAATAAAGGCAAGGCAAGTTTATTTGTATAGCACATTTCAACAACAAGGTAATTGTGTGTGTAAGTGCTAAAACATAAAACATAAAAGCAACAGGGAAATATAAAAAAGTTTAAAAGTAACATAAAATATAATAAAAGTTACAGTGTTACAATCAGGGTTAAAAGAGTTAAATGGAAAATAAAAACAGGCTGAGGGGGTTGAGCAAATAATTGAGTTACAATTATTCTGAAAAAAAGAATAAACAGAGAAGTCCACTTAATCTACTCTCTCTAGCTAGTCTGTACTTGGGTCCACAGCAATCTTTGGGTCCACTGAAACTCGAAAAACCCTCGGACACTACAGAGAAACCAGGACATGTCTGTCAGCAGGCCACTTTGATCCAATTATACTCTGGACCCACCTGCACGTTTACAGGTGGACAGAGGTTCCTGCAAATCACTCGGGCGTGAGATTTAAGACCTTCCTTCACTCTGTTCAATCTCACTCCCATTATCCCCTAACTCAAAGATTCACAATCTACATGCCTTCCCTGTATATACCTCAAACCAGTTCTCACTCTGGAGGGTTTTCTCAGTCCTTGCAATCTTTGTGGGGACATTTGGTTCTCATAAGCATGAAAGTGTTAAAAAAAACACTCAGATACGTCTTATGTCTTCATTATGTCAAATTTGATTCAGGGACCCCCCTGTGACTTATACATTAGTAAGTATGTCACAGAAGAATAAAATAAGGGAAAGATAAGGGGAAGTGTGTTGTGTATGAGTAACAAGGATAAAGGGTGGAAAAGAATGGATGAAAGCTTATCTCAGATTAAAAACCACAAAGTGCAGAATGACAAAGAAAGAAGAAATAAAAAAAGGTGAAGCAGAGGTAGAAATAAAAAGGATCCCACAGGCGCTCCTCTCTTTTTGCCCCATGCTGTGAGCTGCTGCTCACTTGCAATAGCAGACTGATTAACTTGGAAGACTGTATTCCCACCATCCCAGAGGCAAACAAGCCAGAATATGAAATTGGACTTCCTACAAAAACTTTCAAAATAAAACATGAAATGCTTTAAAGTGCTTCATATTTTATATAATGCGTGTTTAATACGTTTTCCCCGGACACGCTAGTTGTAAAAACAGTTTAAGGGGACAGGGTTGCTGCTCTTGTGTGAAATCTGCTTCTAGTAGGAAAGACTTGATCAGGGTTTGAGTGATCTATGAGCCAGTTATCGACCTGTTCTTAAAACCCAGATAAGCTTATCTTGAAGTCACTGTTGTCCACCTCTGATATAAGGATTCATTTGTTTCATCAGAAACTGACTGGAGAATTGATCAGTGCCGGTTGTCTATGAGAAGCCTTTAAGTTGATGTTAATGTGACATTTTGATCAGATTACAGACACACACACACACACACACACACACAAACAGACAGACAGACAATAATGAGTGTTCATCCTCACTGCCAGGTCTTTTTCCCCCCTTGTGCATCTCATTATTCTAAATGTATGGCATGTATTGACACAAGAGGTTTAGAGTCCTAGACGTAGTGATTTTTTGCATAAAGATTGTCATACTCGGTGTAACAGAAACACTCATAATACAAAGAAAGTACACCTCTTGAGTATCAAAATCCAGTAAGTTTGCAGTGTAATTCACATTATGTAGGGCATTATGTATCGTGTGATCAGAGCTGACGGTGCTGGGGTCCACTTGGGTTTTAGACATATTGACAAAGAGACCCAGACAAGCAGCAATAGAACAAGATCATACCAGGGCACGATTACCAGGGCACGATTACCAGGGCAGGATTAGACTAAATATAGTTTGAATCCAGCCAGATTTGGTTACTAGGAACTCAATGCACTAATGAAGACATATACAGTTGGCCCCCAGCTGATCATCTTTTGCCAGTCTTTTACTCTTATCTACCACCAGCAGGTGTTCACCATTTGCAGTTAGAGGCTATCTGTCTGATTGGGCTACTTTTGTTCATGAAAGGTGAAAGAAAAGTATAATGTGTGTGTGTGTGTATATATACTGTATATATCCTCCTGAAATTAAACTGCTGAGAAACATTTTATCCTGATGTGACAAATTTCATTAATATTTGTCTGTGCATTGGATTTATAATTTTTTTTATATTATGTGTTTACATATGAAGCCATTTCTTCGGTTTATTCCTTCATTTCCCTCCTCCGTATAACAATGGCAGGAACAAGGTCACTGGATAACCAGTGTCCTGCAGGTTTTTTCCTGTGATCCTCTATGCTAACATTTGCAGTGCATACAAGTGACGTCAGCCACCTTGTCTTTCATTATTTTTATGTTTTTACGTGTATAAAGAGGCCCTCCCCTCCCGGTGGATCCCAATGGGACCTGATTTCAGAAAAGCTATGTACAGCAGTGAACAACAAGGGACATCATTTTTTTTTTATCCCGTTTGAATTATACCATGAATTGCACATTATTAAATTGAAATATAATTCTGCAAGTCATGAACGGTTTATTGTAAAACTGAGACTGTGAAAATTCATACTTAATTAGACTACACACCCAGGAGTTGCGTAAATGGCATCATGGCTTTCTCTCTCCAAAAACTCAAGCCGCTGAAGCTACGATGCCTGTGTGTCTTGTACTGGGATGCAGCCACACAAGCAATGGGAGTTTACATGAGCCCGGACTCACTCTAGTTATTGCTTGTTCTCACACCAGAAGCGCTGCAGTGCATCTCAGAAGCGCCTGCTCCACTTCAGAGAATATGCAGCCAGCGTATTTTTGACAGAAGCCGCGTCAAGCAACACAGATTAGATGAATTGGGCAGGAAGTCAGTTCCAGAAATGGCATAGAGAATCCGATCAATTTTCAAAGGCCTCGAGTTCAGTATTTTGTCTGTCGCCATCTTGGTTTTTTGGAACCAGATGTGACCGGACGTGATCATATTTGGACAAGAGGGTGGCGTTAGCTAGACTGATCTTCTGGTCTGGAATTCCAGCTGGGGGGGAATTCACGTTAACTGTGATATTACCTGGGATGCTAATTTTTGCTTGTGAAAAGCAGGCTTAAAACAAAATGTAGGCTACTACAGGAAAACTGAACAGCCGACTCCTAATAAGCTTTTTCAATGGCGCTGCTTAAATGTAGCCCACAGAGTGCAGAGGATATAAGTCGCCTTTATCCTGATTGACGGGTCGCTATGGTAGTGACTTGTCAATCACAAGATAGCCAGGGCCTAAAGCATACCCTGTTTATCGTCTATTTTCCTCTAAATGAGACCCTAATTTACCAAATGAACATCATGCTTTAAAGAAGAATTGAAACTAGTAATTGAGACCATAAACTCATCAGAAAAGTGTTTATTGAGGTAATACATCAAATGGGAAGTAGGGTTATTTTGCTATAGACTCCAATGCAGTCGGACTTGTTTTTGCAACCAGTGGAATCGCCTCCTGCTGGCCATTAGAAAGAATGCAGGTTTAAGGCACTTCCACATTGGCCGCTTGTATAAAACAGGTATAACAGTGAAGATCACGCTACAAGGGACGACCACAATTGGTGTTAGCGATAGGCTATAGCCTATTGTGCAGTGGAGAGCTGTAGCTTTGTTCACTGAGCTGTTTCACACAAAACTAAATGGTAGGCTACTATGACAAACTGGGACTGTCACGACTTTAAAAATGATCTATTAAATTGAGAAATGTCTTGTGTGGAACTCATGGCACAAAAAAATGTGTCGCTTGCCTACATATTTATTCTGATAGGCCTATAAGGTCCAATGGCGCTAAGGGTTAGGGCTTATTTTTATTTTTTTTTTGTCGGGCTTTTACTCTGAAGTCTACAGCACATCAGCCTCGCTGTAGCTGCAGCTGCTGGCTTGACGCGTCTCTCTCTCTCTCTCTCTCTCTCTCTCTCTCTCTCTCTCCGTCTCTCTACCTCTCTCTACCCACCGTCACCCAGCGCGGTGCCGTTGCCTCGTTAAACCTGGAGCCGCCGCCAGGAAGGATGAGCTGCCTGGTTACTGGAGAGAAAACCAGATTTTTAAAAAAACAATAAAAAAAGAGAGGGGAAAAAACGGATTTCTTTTTTTTATAAAGGTAGTTTTCCATGGAAGACAGAGTGGAGGGAGACCCACTCAGTGAGAGGATTGCATCCACAGCGTGTGCAACTGTGTGAGTGTGTGTCAGTCAGAGTGTGTGCGTCGGACTCCCCAATCAGTGATGTAAAACGTGAAGGTGGATTTTGGCATGTGGAGGAGCAGGTAAAAGGTAAGACTCATGACACCTCATTGAGCATTGAGCAGCTTTAACACTCCAGTTTGGAGCTCCGGGGGGCTCCAATCTGTTGCCGAGATTAAAGAAAATGATTAAGAAAAACTATTAACTGACTGTTAACTCGCAGGAAAAAAAAAATATTGACACTTGGTTTCATCAGCAGACTATAGGCGTAGTCCATATCTGGACACGAGGTGTGAGGATTTGGGGAGGATGAAAGTAATTCAGTAGATACATAAATAAGACAACTGATGAGGTCCCCATGACGTCTGTGGTGATGAATGGAGATTAAAAAAAAAGAAGCTCTGCCTCAGTTTGGGAGTGAGGTAGGTGTTGGGGGAAAGAAAATGCGGTGCATTCACTGTGTGAGTTTTGGGTGGATGACGACACCCCCCAACCCACCCCCTCTGCATTGTGGGATGAAAATCTAGATCAATTAGGTGATGTTAAATTTTTTTTTTTTTTTTAAGTGTCACATTTGGCCTGGGTGAATGTTTTGGTGTTGGCCGTGGATGTGACTGTAGTTTATTTATTTATTTAATTTTTTTCACTGAAGATAGATGCAGCAAAGAGATTGCATCTGTGCTCTGGATGACATGATGACACCAACACATACACCTCACAAGGTGGATGAAACCCTCCCCGAGCTGCACAGCGGGGATGACACATGCACAGTATGAAGTTGCCGGCTGGTGCTCTGCTGTGAGTCAAAGTGGCCCTGCAGCAGAGGAACACAGTCCTTTTTTTGTAACCCCCCAGAGTGGACCAGGATCTCTAAAAGCCTGCGGGGGTGAGGTATAGTGTAGATATATCCTTTCATGTGGATGAGTGCGTGCAACAAAAAAAAAAAAGCCTCACTTTCCACACTTCTATCCTGAGCTTAAGTATGAGAAATAGGACTGAATTATAAATGAGTTATGCTCCAGCTAAGGGACTCAGTTACTGTCTCCTGTCTTACTTCCATGGGCATTAATTGAGTACGGCATGGCCATGGTAATTGTGTGCAAATTGAATCTGCTTGTTCTTATCTGTATAATGGAGAGCAAAGTTCAGGGGGAAGTGGCCAGAAATGCAATTGTTATCCATATCTAAAAATAGGAGCGTTCAGGAACAACAGTTTGGGGAGGTATGTCAAATAATTTATCACACTGACCAAATTCTTACATCTCGCGCCCATAAATCCAGAATATAAAAGTGGGTTTTTACAAGTTTTCCTTTGTGACGAATGAATTCAGGCAAAGGGGACTTTGCTGTACATCAAACTGCCGCCCCTGCTGTCTCCAAGCAAGAGGGATGCTAATGGAGGAGAGAGAGAGGATACAGGCGTTACCGCTGCAAGATAGAGAGAGAGAAAGAGCGTGTGTGAGGCGTTTCCATGGCAACCTGTCAGGGGTGTGTTTGGTCCCCGGAGACGGTGAGGAACTGGAGGGGAAGAGAGAGATGAGAGACGAGGAGAAAACTATCCCTCGTTAAGGGTGAGAGGGGGATGGGAGAAAGGAGATAATGGAGGGAAGAGGGGAATGTGGCATTGTCTTCCCCTTTCCTCCCTTTTGTTTGTGTGCCTCCTTTTTCCGTGCTGTGTTCTCCTCGCAGGCTTCCTCCCCTTCGCTCACGCCACCTCCTCTGTTCATTTGGAAGTAACTCGCAGCGTTTGTCACGGCTGTGTTTGTGTCATATGGGAGGGTTATTATCAAGTGAACTCGTTTGAGGACATTTTCTGTTGACTTCTTTGCTTGAACTCTTCTTTTCTTTTTCTTTTTTTGCACACCAGCCGCTTCTTGGCACTGTTATTTCCATCAGACGGTGCCAATAATGTGAAAAGGCAAATCTTATTGTCTGCTTTGTAACAGGAGGGAACTAGAAACATATCATTTTACATCCCTGTTTGTATTATGACAATAACATTTATATTGTACCTTGCTTGGGTTTTATCTGCTGAGTGTTTAGCTGTGTCTACTGATTACCTTTATTGGTATTGTTCAGACTGACAAAAGCCACAACACAGCTCACTTCTGGCCACATTCATAAGACACACCCACAGCAAACTGTTAACTTCCCACAATTTCTGTAAAATCCAAAAATCCAAGGAAATCCAACTTAAGCCAAATGTAGAAAAGATTTACATGAACATGAAAGCGCTTGAGTTGATCAAATATATTTAACATTTATCAGTATTGAAAACAGTCAAATGCCTACATGTTGCAGCAACAAGTGTGACCTAAAGATTTTTTTTAATTATTACCTTTTATGTATTTTTTTATTAATGGCTTGACAATAAAGATATGACAAGAAATGTGGAAGACACCCCAGACTGCAGGTATTTTGTTGGTGGCGACACCAGTTTTGAAAAATGGCAGAAATGAGGGTTCATCATAAACACATTTTTCAAGTTAGAAGAAATCTGAAAACATATATGCATATTCTCTCCACTTCTTCAAAAGTTAAGCACATTATGACTTAGTGAATTAAATTAGTTCATAACTTGCATTTTTCATAGTCTCATGAATGTTATGTATGAGAAGAAGATTTTTTACCACCTGATATTGAATTCAAATAGTATCAACCTGGGAGCTTGAATCTGCTGTCTTTCTCATATGGTATGAATGCTGGACAAGGTAACAGCAAGGTGTGTTGCACTGACATATTGCTGAGGCCTAAAAAGCAGAACTCAATGTGATTTTAGTAATAGTTCATGATCAGCTGTCACTCAGCCTCTGCTTGCTAAAGTAAGAATGATGTGAATTAGCTAAATTAGAGGGTAAAGTTCTTTGTATTCAAACAAATTAGAGCTGTGTGTATTGTAGTTATTTCTATTCATATGTTTGGGTCTATTCTTAAGCTATTACACAATTGCATGCATTTAAGTCATTGTTCTGCAATCAGCTATAACAATAATGAAACAACACCTGGCTGCTGAACAGCACCATTATTATTCCAAGGCAAATTCACACACACAATTTTAATTGCTTTAATAATTACCTTCTGTTTCCTATTTTCTGTAGCATAACTCATGAATAAAATGCTGTCCTGCAGCCACCCGTCATGTCCCAGATGCGGGAGCTTCCCACCAGCACCAGAACATGGTATATAAGTCAGTGACAAACATAAAGTGTGGTCCAAGGCTGAGCAAGTTTCAAGTGTCTTCGAGTTTATTTTAATAGTGCGTGGAAATAACCAGAGAAGTAGTGGCTGTTTGGATGATAGTAAAACATATTCACCTGTCTGCAACACTCCCCCGTGTGTTGGAAAATGGTTTGCTGTAATATAAACAATATCTGATTTGTAGGACTGAAAGATGCAAAAACACCGGGTCAGTCTTGAAAGAAAAACACTATCGATTGTCAGTGGACAACAGCAATTTTTTATCAAACATTTGTAGACAATGCATTTGTTGTGCTGTGTAGTGTATAGTATTCAGTTTCAGTAACATTCTTCGAGGGTATGTCATTAATTCAGGGATTTTCCTGCAGGTTTCCGTGTAGATTGTGGTAAATACACCTTCGGGTCATTGGGTCTCAAAGCAGCAAAGGATCCACCCCATTTAATGTGTTTAAGAGTCAGCACAGAAAGCCTTCCTCTCTTTAAAATGGACAGTAGTTAAGAAACCAAAAGTGACTCTATAAGAATCAAAGTTAAGCAATTACTTTCCTCAAAGCAGTCCTCCAAATATATAGTGCAAGTCATCTAGAGCAGAGCAATGCCAGGTGCATAGCAGCAGACAAGCATGAGAAGTAAAGCTTACCTTTCTTTGAAAAGGATGTTCGCAGCAAAAAAACATGTGATCAAACCCGGAGAGTCATATTTACAAAGCTTTGACTACTTTAGGATTTGGCCCCAGTGCTGAAATTCAAAATATAGAAACAAGAAATCTTCTAAGAATCTTCCCTGAACACAGTAAAAAGTAAAAGCTATCCAGGATACATAGATCTCAGCCCTTAAGAAAACCTGGAAGGTGCAGTGTGGAGGAGGACTTTTATATAGCTCATGGGTTTTTAAGTAAAGTAATAAGTGGCTGCAACAGGTGGAGAGAAGAGAAAAGTTGTTGCTTCAAATTGCCAGAATAAAACCACTCCTTAACTGGAACTGCTTTATAGGTGACATTAAGAGCATTCTCAAAATAGCCACTAGAACCGGGTGCGTCTCAGGTTTCTGACACCAGCTGCTCTGCCTGAATAACTAAAAAGCTAAACGACCCCCCCCCCCCCCCCCCCCCCCCCAAAAAAAAAAACCCTTCATGTAACTTAACTGTTATGTATAGAAAGTAGGCACATAAAGACATTCACATTCGTTTAGAAAAAAAATCACCCAGCACACACATACAGTGCACACAGCTAACATCACAGAGCAGCAAAACTAAAAGCATCATCATGGCATAAAAATTATACCATACACTACAGTCTGAATACAGATTTGGATGAAGTGGCAGGACATTGAAGGCTCTCTCCAGATGTAACCCCGCAAGCCGCAACACATTAGCGATGCAGTGAGCTATGGAGTGCTCGGTTGTTATTGGAGACGAATTTTTAGTTTGACAGGGAAGACAAGGCTAGTCTGTGGGGCCCTTTGCTGGAGTGTGATTAGCATTGCAGATGCAGGTTTCTGTAGGCGTCAATTTCAACAAACTCAAGGTTCCCCAGTCTCCGATGCATGATTAAAATGTAACAGTGGTGCGTGGGAAATTCACAAGAGCAGAATTATGCTCCAACAGTCAAAGAGCCTATTTTTTGCTCAGGTATGTTGCACCTCCTCCTGCACACGCTCTCTTAGTCTTTCTCTCGCATATAAATACACACAAGGACTCGACCCACATGAGTTGAGCCGAAATCTTCTCAAGTCTGCCAGCAGCAATTATTTCTCGCAGATATTTGACATGAAAATTTAATGTTTGAATGTAAAGGAAGACGTTGCTGCAAATGAGAGTCATGTAAATTTCCTAGATAAAACAAAGACCAATAGCAGTGTGAAAACGACTCTAAAACTGTAACATTGGTAAA